TTTAAAAAAGGGTTCTTTGGGGATTTCTCTTTTTTCCCCCCTTTTTCCCTTTTTTTTTTATTTTTTTTTTTTTTTTTTTTTTTTTTTTTTTTTTTTAGCTAAATGTGGCTCTGGGAGACGCATGCTTCATATGTTACAGCCTCCGCTGGTGTGTTGTTTTTATTCTGATTGATCCTTTATTTTCATTAATAACGTAACACTCACGACGGTCGGCTTGATCGTATTCGTGTGTCTTGATGTGCAAGACGTGTGTTTCGCTCTTTGAAATGAAGCAATCACAGTAGTGGAACATGCTAAGGACAAATAGTGGTCTAATTGTAAGCGGATTTGGAGCCAAGCTGGTTTCAGGCAGTGAGACGGGAGCTCACAGAGGAGCATAAAGGGTGGGGGGAGACTTTCATGCACACACTGTTCTCTTCATCGCTTATCCTCCCTCCTCTGCCTCCTTCCATTCCTCCTGTACGCCAGCTTTCTCTTTCGTTCGCCCTCCCTGTCCCTCATCGTTTCTTTTCCCTGATTGGCCAATGGAGCACTCAGTCGCCTCCCCCCCACCTCCCTCTTCCTCCCAGCTTCCAGAAGGATCTACGTCATCCATCAGAGATTTCCAACTGTATAACAGTCGACTCCATAACTAATACGTCGTGGCGCACTCCCAGAGTCCTCTTGTTTTATTAGGAAATCACCTCTTAAAGCCAGCAAATTGACCTGGAATTACTGCGGCCATCTGCTGGCCTTAATACAGCTATGATGACAAGAGGATAATAGTCGGTGGGAATGAAGGAGAAAGGAGAGAGGGGAGCACGGAAAGGTGGGGAGGGATGAAGCATAAGAGTATCTGATGATTCGCTGAGCTGCAGAGAGAGGCAGACGGATCCAGATGCAAGAAGTGACATCGATCGCAGAGACGTAGGAATCCCCTCCCCTCATGCGTCCACGGTTCATAACCACGATGGGCACCGACGCATCAGGAGAAAGGAATTTGGTCTCATGTATCAGTAAACATGGGTCTCTGTTTGCATGTTGCACTGCACCATGTTGCCCTCTCCCCTCAACGTGGGCCTCAGCATTACATAACTCTTTGTTTTTGTATGTGACTGGCGGGCCGCATGTGCTCAACTTATTCACCGCTTCGCTGCACAGACTCGGGATGGCAGCCAATGGCGAAGCGCGCTGCTCTTTGTAACTCATTTAGTCCGCAGAATTTTTTTTTTTTTTTTTCCTTTTTCTTTTTTTCGTTTTTGCTTGTTGGTTTCACAAAGCCGCCCTTCCCTTCCCTCCTCCAGCCAGCACTCAACTACCATTTTGGCTCGGTGCGCATTACGTCCGATCAGCTGATGTTTGGGTTTTCACAAGTACAGCCTACATAGGTTTTAAACACATTTTTTGCATCCCTTTTAGATTTTACTTTACCAGATTACTCCATTATGTAATGAAATGCTCTGAGGCGATTACCCTCTGTGCTTTGTGTCCCATAATGTGTTCCATCCAGGGCTAGCTCAGTAACCCGAGTTGATCCTCGTGAATGATTTAATGCTGACCCTTAACCTCATAGCTACGCATTATTGTACCATAAATTAGCCTGCAGGGGACTTTAAACCAACCTAATGCTTCAGAGTCCCTTTAATATTGAACTTTCATTTAAATAAGTTATGTTAATTTTTTTTAAAAATACCTCTTGATGTGACCTTCTAATAATGTGAGAGATGGAGTTTGTTTTGAGCCTACAGGATTATTTCTCGCTGCTGCTGTTTACCTTATCATCTCAGTAGCAGGTTTGTTCTGATAAAGGGGGGTCAATATAAAGTTTTAGGATGTTTGAGCAACAAATTGTGGAGACACAACAAAAGGGGTAGCTGGGAACTGGTGGATAATAATCAATATTTCCCAAGAATAGTGAATAAATAGAAGTATTTATCTCATCAGTCTCAGATTGGTCAAAAATCCATCTAAAGGATAAATTATTTTTCTTAGTTGTTCCACTTCAGTTGCATACTTTCCAGAAAGAAATTAGAGTTGTTTGATTAGAAAAGCAAAGAAAAAAGTATTTTCAGAATTGCAATACTGATTCCAACGGAATACATAACTATTAGTATCTGTATTAATCTGTCTTAGGAATTAAATAATTCCGGAAACAAAAACAACGTTTGCTTAAAGAGAAATGCCGAAGGAAACGAGGTACATTCAGAGTATAATCATCTGATTGGAGGTCTGGTTTGATCACATTTCTATTAACTTTACTCTCCAGCTATTAAACACAGGGTTTTTGCACATGATTTTTATTTATTTTGCATGCTCCATATATGATCGAAAGGCTTTGAAGAAAGAAAAAAACCCAGAAACTTTTAGGCCTGTTCCCAACATGTTGAGACATCACATTAGATAGCTATTGAGAAATAAATATATATTCCAGAACTCTTGATGACTTATACCTCTGACTGGACCTCTGCTTACACAAATATTAAAGCTCTGAGAAGTGAATTTTAAGCACATTACTCATAGAAAAGGAGAAACTGCTCATGAATTAATTATGCATAATTTTCAAAGGTTACAGAGTTCTGAAATGGCAAGATGAGATTACTACTTCAAAATGCATTCTACGTAAAGCGTTGACATTTATCTGTATAGTGTTTGTTTGGAGTGTTGTAAACATTGCATGGTTTTGACAATTTCAGGGACATATAAGACGCTGCCTTACATTACCTGCTTGACTCTAAATAACAGGTTGACACATTTAGTTTGCCAACACAAAGGAGGTTTTTAGAAGTTAAAAAGGCACTTATTTCCCTCAGGAGTCTGTAGAGAGCAGAAACGGACCAGCTGTTCTTAAAGCATAGCTATTCTGAGTATAGGCTATTAAAATGGTTTGTCAGAGGTGACGGAAAGACCGGCTTTGTTGCCAGGGGAAACTGAAGCTAGTGGGACACGAGCACTTGACTTCAGCAGCTACGGCAGCGGTTGATAACTAACAGCTTTGGTCATGCGCCGAGAGGTAATCGTTTCTGGGGCTATAACCTGCCACAAAGTATGAATAGCTTATGTTGATGGGGTTGGGCGCTCTTTAAAACTCTGTCCTGGTGGAGACAATAACGCACAATAATGAAGCAAGCAGGTCTAAGTCCATTATCAGGTACTTGACCTATTTATCACTTTTAATCTGCGAACAGGCAGCATATCGGGCAGCGAGAGTTCCCCGTCATCCCCAAAGGAAGTGTGTATTTATGATTTACATTTCCACAATGAGATTAATGCAATCCTCTGGTTTGTGGTTCAGAAAATCCTATTTGTATGTAGTTGTAAATAGCTCAATTGTAACTTTAAAAAAGATAAATAAATAAAAAGGCAGTGAAGAAACACTGTGCTAAAAGATTTTTACAAAACATGCAGGAAAAAGTTCTTGCGCATACTGACATTTTTCATGTATTTTGATTTAATTTTATGTGAAAAACCAATATAAAAGTACAAGTGGGGAAACTTTAGGTGGAGTAAAAGGAGGATGCATCTTTTTTTTTTTTTTTTTACATCTTAGTCACACAGCAAAGACAACCGTATCTCTGGAGAAGCTGCAGAGAGCCAAAGGTCCTGAGGAAAAGAAAAACAACAGGATGACAAATCTGATCTGCTTGAAGGATAGCTCCTGTTTGCAGTTTCTCACAACAAGCCATGTAGGGGACACAAAATGTGGAAGAAGGCTTCTCATCCAATGAAATTGAGTTTTTTTTTTTTTTTTTTTTGGGGCCCACATGCAGAATCCTAAGTGTAGGGAAGATGGATGAATCTGTCCTAGAAGAAATGCTGGAAAAGACATTCCAACATGTTCCAACAGGACAACAACACTAGATACCTGCAGCTGGAATTAAAGCAAAGTAGCTCAGATCAGAAAATATGAAACAAGACAGCCCAGTAAAAGTCTGACCTGAATCAAACTGAGATCGTATTACAACGCTTGACAAGTGATGTTGAGTCTCCTCTCCATAAAATGATGAATATCCAGAAGTGTGAGCAGGTGGATTCATAAAGTATTGATACAAGGGATTAAATACAAATGCAAGACTTCAAAAGTTTCACTTCGTAATTATAAATTAATTCGTGTTATCAAATTATAATACCTATGATATAATATCCGAATAAAATACCTTGAAGTGTGTGGTTGCAATACGTTAAAAGGCTCTGTATCACTAAAAGCATGCGAGAGCATTAACTTAGATTATTTTCTTTTCTTTCATTAATATTTTTTTAAGTTTTGTTCAGATATTATAGTAAACAAAGCTGTGCAACTGCCAACATCCTGCTTTTTGTCTGCAGTATTTTGACACTTGTGTGTGCTCAGCAACTCTTGTCTATGGCTAACGCTCCTTTAACCCGCTCATCCTGTATTTGCACTCCCTCCTTCTAACTGACCCTCTCCCTGCCCCACTTCCACAGTGCCAGACTCTGCCAGGCTCGACCCCACCCCTCCTCTTCTCCCCGCCAACCCCGGTGCCATCCCACCTGTACCCCAAAGCAGTGGAAATGGGAAGCGCGCCCCCTCCGGATGCCAGCCGCAGACAGCACAGCAGCCGCAGACTTTGCTCCAGCAGCAGCAGCAGCAGCAGCAGCAGCAGCAGCAGCGCTACCTGCCCAGAGAGGTGCCACCGCGCTTCCGCCAGCAGGAGCAGAAGCAGCTGTTGAAGAGGGGCCAGCCTCTGCCTCCCGGGACCCTGCCTCTCCTTACCACGGGATATCCCGACACTAGTGAATCTGCAGCATCAACCGTAGCCATAAACCCCTCTTCGTCCTGTACCTCTTCCTCCTCAGCCAGCTTGCCCACAGGTCAGCAGAGACACTTGACAAAACTCCACCTCTGCTATTACTAAATACTGCATAGGCTTGCAGAATGATGCTTGCTGTGTAAGAGTGGATTATTGTTCTGAATTGCTTCAGTTTTTTTTTCCATTGTGGGGGGACGTGGAGTAAAATCACGTTGTTTGCGGTTCTTAAAGCTGTCATCATTCTAAAATGTTTACATTTCTAGACGAAAGTAACATTTTACACTTTTAATTGAACATTAAAATTAATTTTAATTAACTTAAAATTGAATGCATGCCAGCTACTTAAAACGCCACACACATTTTTGCTTAATATTTTTTTGGGATACAAAAAAGAAAGGAAAAAAAAAAAAGCAAATTTCTTTTAAAGGTTTCATGGTCAACTATTTTTAATTTAGTAACAGCAGAAATACAAAATCTTCTAAAGTCTCTTTAGAGACTTGTTTTTTTTTTTGTTCTTTTTCAAAGAATTAAAGTTACATCTGAAAGATTTCTAGAATCATATGAGTAAAATTTTAACAGATAGGTAGCTAAATAACACAAATTTAAGAGAATTAATTGAATGTTCTTTTAAAGCTTCTTAAAATCTACCTTTTTGTAAGCATTTATTAAACAGCATGCATTTATGTAATGAAAGATTTGTGCTTTATGTGGATATGAACAACTATCTAACTCTTAGGTGCCAAAACCATCTTCAGTAAATACACATCCTGCAGTGTCGAGGTGCTGTGCATACTGAAAAGTTGGAGGAAACGGCAGGCTGATGCTGCCTCCCGTCCGCTTTCTTTTGATGGTCTGGCATCGTAGCGTGTTTGTTTTTTTTGTGGTTTCCTGTCTGTCATTTGTGGATAAACGTCAAAGTGAGAGTTATTTTCCTCCTTCGTAAACTGAGCGCTTTGTTTTGAACGTCATAATCGATATCCAGCGTCATAGCGCGGCTGTACGCAGGTGTCTCCCAGATGGCTGCTGGTCTGCAGTGGAGCCTCGTCTGAGTTGGTCACATTAATTGCCACTTTATGAGTTTGTTCCTCTTCTACTGTTAATGGAATTAGCGGCAGTCTAGCCGTTGCTCAGAAACATTACTGCACCCAGCAGAGCAAAATATTTCAGTGCAGACAATGCGACTTAGGGGTTTATTAACTTTTACCTGCCACTTCATAAATTTACCTGCATGTTGACAGTAGTTTGTGCTAATTTATTTCCCTGATGATGCATTTTTTGTGCCTCAGATTGAAATCTCAACATTCTGACAGTGACTCTCTATTGATATGTGGTCTCTTTCTATTTAACTTTGCTGGGTTTTTTTTCTTGGACTACATCTGCTGTGCCATGTGTTACGTTTTAGTTTTGTTTACCACTCTGCCTCTGGTTTTGTTCCTGTTAAACTCTGCTGAAGCATTTGGATCACAGGTGCTGCTGGCCACTGTTTATTCCTCACTTTGCCAGGCTGGGACTTAGAAACCGGGATGAGGTAGATGAAAAGTAAACACAGCTGGCTATTTTTTTTGCCTCTGTGTGTGTTTTCCTTCCTATTGCTTTCATGCTTCTCCAAGTGATAATAGTCAATTATTTACCAATAATTATCTGGTGTTGATGAAGATCCTTCAGGGCCTTTTGCGTCATGCGGCTTAATTCTCTGTAACTGTCTCAGGGCATCACTCGGCTCCTCCTCTGATTCTGTGAATGCAGATTTATTTACATGGCGACGAGATGTTTACCCTCTCGTCGTCTCTCTCCCCTCCTCCTCCTTCCTCTGATTAACACCCTCGTACTGCGCTCTGAGCTTCAGTGTTTCCTGTTTGGGAGGAGGAGCGATACGGAACGAGCTACTTGGTCCGCTGCCTCGGTGAGACCGAGAGAGAAGCAGAGAAAGAAGTAGAGAGCCAGAGTGGCAGAGGTCCAGGTCTGTGGGCTGAAGTGACTCATAGCTTACGGTAAAAGCTGCTGCTTCTCTCCGCCCCTCTCTGGCAGCCCAGCTCGGCTCTGCTTTTGCTCTCTGTGCGTCTTTGAACCGACGTGTTGCATTGGGATAGAGAGAGAAGTCTACTTTCCTGACTAAAGACCGACTCTGTTTTATTCCCTCCTATAAAACGGGAGTTTTCAATGAGCCCAACTCTGTCCGTTTCCCGCTCCTCGTCCTGAATCAGTCTTGTAAGCTAGCTACTGAAAATATGCAGCCCTACAGGTAAATGTCACCTTAGTCACATCCTGGTCACACAGCAGAGAGAAAGGTGGTCCCCTCCTCTCTTTGACCCAGTGGTGATGTTTAACAGGAGGAACACACTGGCTCCATTCATTGCCCTCCTTTCCACTTCTCCTCTCCATCTGCCTGACTCTGTGTTTCATTATCCGGCTACATGTGGATGTCTTAAAAAGCCAATCTGATAAATGTTTCTTGTTTTTATTTATATGCAACAAAAACAAAATAAAATAAAAAAAAAACACAAACATTTCCTTTCCTCCTAGATCAGAGGAACTTGTGTGTCATAGAGTATTAATCTGGTGTGAAGGCCTGTAAACAGTGGAGTCTTGGAGTATTTTCCTTGATAATTGAATTTCATGCTAAGGATTTTAGATGTTAAATGTGCCCATTTAATTTTAAGACACAAGGAAATGTAGTTTCTTCCATTTCCTCTGTGTTTTGCAGGGAAGTCATTTCCTTTTGGTATGTTAGTTGAACTCTGAATTCTTTGGCTCAGTGTGGATGAGGTGTTTTGTGGAGTTTGATCTACATGGAAGATGCTTTGTTAGACATTGAACCAGCTCTACGACAGTGGCAGCAGCATTCTGTGGGGATGCTTTTTATTCTATTTTTCTGTAGCAGTGATCAGAGATGTCGTTACAAGAAATGACTTAAGGCTCGGTCTGCGGCTCACCTTCCATCGGGTGACCAAGACCTTGAGTCAGTGTCCAGATGCCCTGCTGTCCACGATGCGGTCTCTCTCTCTCTCTCTCCTGTTTATAAATAAATTCAAATTTGGTTTTCTTTCAAAATGTTTCTCTCATCGTCTTTGTTTAGGAGCGGAGCAACCTACGCTCGCAGCTTCCACTTTGACTGGTTTTGTTTAACTCTGGGCTCTTGTCTTAATGTGTTTGCGGCGTTGCTGGGAGGATTTACAGCTAACCGCCTTTGCATTTGTAAGACACTTTTGTTTATAGCTTGTAAAATAATTAACGACTTTTATATACCAGCGGGGAGCTGCCGATGTAACGGAACAACAAAAAAGACTTCTCGGTGTAAACATGCCTCGATGTGTGCAAGAGCTGCGCCGCTAATGTGTTAATAGCTCGTCTGCTGGAGAAGAGGGTGCATGCACGATAGGCTTGATGTACTCTTTAAGTCTGCTGATCATGCCGTAAAAGAGCCTTGGGAATCCCCTCAAAGAGGCCTGGGATGTCTTGTGATGTGATTAAACATCAGCTCTGTGTTAACCACAAATGTTCGACACTCGCTCTCTGTTTTTCTATGTTGGCTGACTTTCTCTCTGCTTTTTCCTCCTCTGACTTTGTCTGCGAAGCCCGGTCGTCTCTGACGCACGCGTTCTCCTCCTCCGTCTCCAACGTATCAAAAAAAAAAAAAAAGCAACTTGCACACTTTCTAGTTTGCCCTTAGGGTGGGAATTATTAGTCAGACCGCACATTCCATATTCTGCCAATCTTCTTGTGATTCTAGACTTTTTTCCAATGTTGCCTTTTTTTTTTTTTAACGTAGCTAACAATCCATATCCCTGGGCACTTTAATGTTGAGGAGGTATAAAAGAGAGCTATTTTAAAACTTGAATGCTGTGAGGAGAGAAGGAATACAGAGAGGAGAACATGAAGTCCAGATGTCTTAGTTGTGTAGTTTCTTCATGACACAGTGTACCCTTCTGTTATCCTTTGGATTTTTCTTAATAATGTTATGATGAGACCAAACAAAAATGTACTGAAAGTGAACGTATAGAAGAATTTCTTCTATAAAGAATGCATCTTGTTTTTCATTAGACTTTGTCACATTCAAAACACACATTTTAATGTAATCCTTAAATTGAAAATTGCTTCACATTGGGAAGTGGAAAGAAAAGGACACAGTAATTTCAAATTGGTTACAAATAAAAGTATAAAAAGTGCAGACATTTCTATTCATCCTCTTTTAAACTTGGCAGCAGTTTTGTAAAACCTGCAAAAGACTTGAAACCTGGACAGGTTCATCTTTAAGGAGGACCTCAAACATACAACTAACACTGTAATATATAATGGTTTATATCAAATTGTTTTCATGTGAGCCATCAAAGTCTAGACATAAATCCAATTCAAAATCAGTTTTAAATTTTGTTCACCTTCTCTTTCCATCCAGTCCATTTCAACTTGAATCATTTTACAAAGAGGAATGGGAAGAAATTTCAGTCTTCACAAGTAAAGCTGGTAGAAACTTACCACCAATAGGTTTGCAGTTGTAAATGCAGGGAAAGGTGCAATTACAACTAACCACTAACCAAATAAAAGCATTAACTAAGAAGGGCCTATTCTAAATGGATGCATGAGTAATATTGAAAACACTGTATCTGTTTCCCTCCACTTCAGCTATACTCTACTATGTTTTGAATGAATTAGTCTAATATAAGTACTCATTGAAGGAACTGTATTGTGATAAAGTCGCTGTTACTCTGCCTTCAGCTTCAATGGTAAATTATAACAGGTTATCCTGCATTATGTCCCCGCTTCAAAGAACCGCAGCAGCAATTTAGTGTTAAACATGGGCTTAACTTTACGGCTCCCAACCTCAACCGCAATAGTAATTTTAACTCATTCATGCATGTAAGCCGTTATACTTCATATTTCAGTGAGCGACTTGTGTGTTGCGATGTTGCTTTATGATCAAATCAAGCCATTCCTAAAAGATCACGTTTTGCATTATTGGGGACTGCAGTACATCAACACAATGTGAACTTTCTAATCATCAGACAAAGAGGCAGTACATTTTTTGGGGAGTTCTGTATGTTCCCACCCAGCAGGATGTTCATC